TTGTCCACCAAATTTGCTTCAGAGACTACTACAGCAAGATTGATGTCTGCCACTCTATCGGAAAGATAAAAATCCTCGACTATATTAGCTTGTGCTAGCTTTTTGCTTGAACTCCCCTGTCCTTGTGAACGTGACAATCCTTAGCGCGATGTCCATCTTTGTTGCACACAATATAGTTGCCTTTGAACCTTTTGTTGAACCCGTTGTTGACCTTTTTGTTGATCTTACATGTGGATCCTTGTTTAGGACCATTGCCATCATGTTTCCGCTTTTTGTTGTTGAACTTTGACCCATCTTCATGTTCCATAACATTTGCTTTAGCCTGCATGACATGGTTTCCTAACTTTTTGTCGGAACTACGGTTGTCCTTCTTAATTCTGAGCCGCACTATTAGTTCCTCTAATTTCATTTCCTTGTTCTTATGCTTTAGATAATTCTTGAATTCTTTCTAGGATGGTGGAAATTTTTCAATGATTGCCGCTACTTGGAAAGATTCACTAAGAACTATCCCTTTTGCATATATGCCATGGAGAATTAGTTGAAGATCTTGAACCTAGCTAATAACCATCTTGGAATCCATCATTTTAAAATCTAGAAAATGGCCGACAACAAATTTATTTGTACCGGCGTCCTCTGTCTTATAATTATGATCTAGAGATTCCTATAGTTCTTTAGCAGTACTTTTGACATTATACACATTGTACAATGTATTATTCAACCCATTGAGGATATAATTCCAACACAGAAAATCACCATGTTTTCATGCATCGACTGCGGCAACCACTTGCCAGTCAGTTTCTCCCTCGTTCAGTGCCGATGCTTTTTAATGAGTGAAGCGAGCCAAATTTAATGTGGCAAGATAAAACATCATTTTTTGTTGCCATCTTTTTAAATCATTTCCCTTGAATTTTTTTGGCTTCTCCCCATGATTTACCCATACTGCCGGAGTCATCACTGGCACAATAGGTGTGGGGGTCAGAGTAATAACAGTCTCAGTACTATTTATTTCAGCTGTCATAATTCTGACGAAATAATAATATACCAATCACAAATTTATACAGAAAAGAATTTACGCACAAAATAAACAGAATAATATTTTGTAACAAAATTTCAATGATAAACAGTATATTACTACTATGTTATCAAAAAAATCATTAAACAGTATATTACTACTATTTAAGAAATTAAACAATATATGACTACTATTTAATTTCTCAAAACAAAATATTCGTTTGTCTAACACAGAAATAAATAAAAATTGAAATTCTACTTTAAGATTGTTATTTCCACAGTGGTGTGTGTGTGTGTAAATTAAATGTATAAATTAAATAAACAACAAAATAAAATAATTTAGAAAATAATTATAAAAATCGAACTCCGAATTAAACGCTTACAAAAATTAAAGTCGAGACTTGTATTGGACACAATCTCCTTAAAGTAGATTTTACCCTCACTCCAGTGCTTTGAGTTTTAACCGGCGTCTACTTCCTAGGATGCAACGACTAACACTTGAATTTGCAACACTACAAAATCTAGTCTGGTGAACCAAAATTCTGTTGTGACTGTTTCTCTTTCTTCCTAAAAAGTAAATGCAGAACAGATGTAGAAACACAAAAAGAGAATGATGAAATTCTGAGGAAAAAAATTGATCTCTGAATTGCTGGAAGGCTGGCCTTTTATAGGAGGAATGGTGGCTGTTCGAACAGGTACCAAAAGATATGAACCTGTTCGGACAGATTCAATAAGCAAAAAACCTGTTTGAACTATTTGGATAGATACAAAACTGTCCAGAAAAGAATTCAACAGGTATGAACCTGTTTGGGTGGGTTAGGATCTATTTGGGTGAAGGAAAAAATTTAGACCAATTTATTTTGAATTTTGAGACCAAAACAAAAAATAATAAATAAATAAATAAATTACAAAAATTTGTTGCCCAAAAAGATAAGTATTGGGCCGGACAAGCCTAGCCCAACGCAACCTCACACCTGCGCCGACCGGATGGACGGCAGCGCGCGTGTGTGGTTGTTGTTTTGGATCGAATGGGTCTAGCCTACTTTACCCATAACCTTACCCGTCTACAAACTTGGGTACCTCTTGGGGCCTATCCTAAGTATCCCAAGTTAAGGTATATAAACTCATTCAAAACCTTAAGTATTTCCAATGTGAGACAAGTACATTTCTCAAATGTGTAGAAAACCCACCTAAAGCCATTTCACGAACCTGAAAACACGCATTGAATTCTCATTCATCCGGAAATAATTTTGAGCAACCAAATACACGATTTTATTCACTACTTGCCATTAAACATGAATCTAATGAAAAATGTTAAAAATAACGCTTGGGTCCCACCTTAATTAATACTCAAAGTTAACAAAAAATAAGAATTTTTCAAAACCATTTTCTAACAATTACATTCTCCTACTTCATTACTCTCAATTACATTTTTAATGAGGTAATAAATAATTTTAAAAGGAAAGGTAAGAGTTTGAAAAAAGTTAATTGATTGATATTGTTTATTACCTCATTAGAGGTATAATTGGGGGTAATAAAATTGGAAAATGATGCATTTTTTTTATTGAAAAGTTTTCATAATCATTACTAATCTATTCAATTAAACATAAAATATGAAATTAATGGTTGAAACTATTACGAACTACTCCCATTACAAGGAATATTGCTGTAATTAGTCCAAAGTTTAATAAATTGGATTCTAACTATAAGCCATTGGACCGCAAGAATAAGTACAAAATTAGAATTGATAACCCACCGACATTATCACATGAGAAATTTTTATTTATAGTCAGTATCGGATTTCCCATTTTTTAAATCAAATTAATAACGATATTTTATGAGAAGTTATTTGGTGGTATTGAGGTATAGTAGTGTGCTCCTCTAGGTGTGTTGCAATTGGTAAAAGGAATGAAAGTTTCAATTTTACGTAGGTGATTGAGAAATAAAAAAAAAAAACCATGACAATTTATAATTATTCAAGAATATGACCACGTGATACTCTTAGATCATAATATAATTTTTCATATTTTAGGTGCGTCATGATATTCATTGGAGGGATCCAATTTTCAGCCAGATTTAGTTTTAATTAAACTAGTATTATGAATTACTGAACAACAAAAATGCTATGATCATGATATATCTAAATTTTTCAGGATAGAGTGATGTATAGTGAATAATGAATTAGTATAGTGTGGAGTCCACGTATGAAATAAATTTAAATAATTAATGTAAAATTCTAAATAATTTTGAGTTTTTATATTTGGTCCGTAACATTACTGACGGAGAAAAACAATCAATTCGATATGGTAGGATTGATGACGGATTCTGAGAATATTAAACAAACTTTTTTAATAACATATTATTAGGGAAATTTTAATATACAGATTTTTTAAAAGGATGTATTACTAGTCATATCATTTTTTTCTTCAATTATAATTAATTTTTTTCTTTAATTATAATACTATTTTAATTATAATTCATAAATTCTTTAATTATATCTCATATTATATGGTTATGAGTCTTGACTTAACAACAGTTTCATGGAATATTCACCCAAAAACAGTTACATAGAAGGGAGTCCGGATCCCCTCCTTGCAATTCCTCCTTACAACGGCTGAGATCAGTCATCCAACGACCATAAAAAAAATAAAAATAAAATAAAGAAATTAAAATTTCACTTTCCTGCCCAAAACAAAACACAGCCTATATACACAGATTTTCGTTTGGAATCAGAAGCACAAAAACACACTTATTTCGTCTCCTCTGTCGAACCTACCCTCGCCGGCGACCCAGTCTCGACGCCGTTGCAGATCCGACGACAGTGAAACACTCTCGACGCCGTCACGCTCTGTCTCTGTAATTGAACTGCATTTTGGCAAACCAGAGCCGTCACGCTCTTCTCCTCTACCTCACCAGCAGACCCTCGCTACAGCGACCCACTCCCCAAACCGAATCCATTGCTTTGCCCTCATTCTGTCTTCCCTCACTTCGCAAACCAGAGGTTAGTCTTCATTGTCTCTGTCTCTGTAATTGAACTGCATTTTGTTTGTTCATTTGGAATTTTTTTGTGACTGTAATAACAATTATCTTGCAATCTGTAATAATTGTTAATTCAAACAGTCATTAGAATTATAGTTACAAACTTTAATTCAAAACTGACTTCTGTTTGACTGTAATAACAATTGTTCTTTGGAATTTTTTTGTGACTATAATAACAATTGTTCTTTCAATGTGAGCAAACTTTGTGGCAGAGCATGTGAGCAAACTTTGTGCCAGAGCATGTGAGCAAACTGTAATAACAATTTTGTTTTTTCTTTAAGAACACCATATCTATTTTGTTGGGTATTTCTAGTTCCTCTTGATGAGAAAATTGGAAACCTCTATCCTCAAAGCATGTTTCGCAGATCATGAATGACAATTGACAAGGGTTCAATTTTAGTCTATTGTTGTGACCAATTGAACTATCAGTTTGACATTCATTTCAACTTTTACGTATATGTTATATTCTAGAATTGGCCACTAATCTACTTTCAACTTGATGTAGACAAAATTCATTGATAATTATAGAATGACTTTGTTAGATTATCTTATTAATTATGCTAACACACACTTCCATGTGCATCCATAATTGAATTATGCCAATGCATTATTCTGCATATTAAAGATATTTAATGCAAATGATTTCAGAAATTGAAAAGATAATTTTTAGACTTGCCAAACCCTGTGTATTTATTATTTGATCTTAATTGGGTGTCACTTCTTAGTTCTCAATTCTTGTTTCTTTATCTAAGTATGACAGTGAGTTCTTTGATCATAGTGCAGATATTGTGTTTTTTTTATGTAGCTAAGATTTTATTTATATGGGTTTTCAGTTGCATTTTCATATGGATATGGAACCTGAGAATGATTGTGCTTGGAAGCCAAAATAGGGAATGACATTCGATTCTGAACAATGTATGCATGATTTTTATAATACATATGAAGGAAGAATGAGGTTTAGCATAAGAAGGCATTTTTGTAGGAAGAACAAGTTTACTAACCAACTTATTTGTAGACTTTTGGTTTACAACAAGGAGGGATTTCAGAAGGTTGACAAACGAGACCCATTGACAAAAAACCCTAGAGCTGAAACTAGAACTGGTTGTGAGGCTCGACTTTATGTTAAATTAGATGAGGGTACTGGGAAATTTGTTGTGACTGATTTCAAAGAAAAACACAACAATGATCTTATATCACCCGAGTATGCCCACATGTTGCCGTCACAAAGAAAGATATCGACTACCCAAGCAATTGAGTTAGATTTGGCGGCACAATCTGGTCTTTGTTTAGGCCAGTCTTTTGAACTCATGGGTAGGGAAGCTGGTGGGAGGCAATGTCTTGGGTTTACAAAATTAGATCAAAAAAATTATTTGAGAACCAAAAGACAACAAAGTTTAGTATATGGGGAAGTATGCAATGTGTTGCAATACTTTAAAGAAAAATCTTTGCAGAATCCTCCATTCTTTTATGCTTTTCAGTTAGATAATGAGGAGCAAATAACGAATATGTTTTGGGATGATGCACAAATGATCATGGATTATGTCCAATTTGGTGATGTTGTCACATTTGATACGACTTACAAGTTAAACAAAGAACATAGACCCTTTGCATCTTTTGTGGAATTCAACCATTATAGGGAAACAATTATATTTGGTGCAGCCTTGTTGTATGATGAAACCGCCGAATCGTTTGTATGGTTGTTTTAAAATTTGCTAGAGGCTATGTTAAGAAAGGCACTAAAAACTTTGTTCACTGATCAAGATGTTGCAATGGCTAAAGCCATGCCCATCGTTATGCCTGACACAAGTCACCGATTGTGTACTTGGCATTTGATGCAAAATGCATTAAAACATGTTAATTGTTTGTTCCAAGATAAGGGGGTAATGGATGTACTAAATAAATTCTTCTTTGACATTGAAGATGCAAATCAATGGAAGTTAGAGTGGGTGGAAATGCCTGATAAATATGATGCGCATGAAAACCATTGGTTGAAATTGACTTTTGCGGTGAAAGAAAAATGGGACTGACCATATGTTAGATTAACATGGGCTGCGGGAATGAGTACCACACAACTTAGTGAATCTTTTAATGCTTTTTTTGAAGGATTACATTCGTTCTGATTTTAACTTAAATGAATTCTTCATGCATTTTGAAAGGGTACTTTACGAGAAGCGATACAAGGAGTTAGAAGCAAGATATGTTTTGTGCCAAAGGTTGCCAAAGGTGAAAGCAACAATAAGAATGTTAATTCAAATAGGTAATGTGTACACTAAAAAGATTTTTGAGAAATTTCAAAATGAGTACTTTCGATCCATTGAATCGGACATAGAAGCAATTGAATATGGCGAGGCTAGTGCCATTTACACAGTTGTTGATGTTGGTAACAAACATGCAAGGAAAGTGAAGATAGAGAGGGATGGCTCTTTGGGTTGTAATTGTACAAAGTTTGAAAGGGAGAGAATCTTGTGTTGTCACTCATTGAAGGTTATTAGAGACATGATGAAGATGAAAGAGGTTCCTCTACAATACATTCTAAAGAGGTAGACCAAACAAGTAAGAGCTGAAGTTGTGAAGGACGTTAAGGGGAATGACATTTAAGTAGATATGAAATTCCAACAAGCCTCGCGGTACAAGACATTGATGACCACATTTAGAGCACTAGCAAGTAGAGCTATTAAAACTGAAGAAACTTATGATTTTTGTATTGCACACCTTGCTACATTAGGTGCAAATGTTGAACGCAAGTTAAGTGCTCATTTTGGTGTTGGAAATGAAGTAAGTAATGATGATGACACCCAAAGCTTTGAAGTGGATTGCGAAGATGTGAATCATGTTATGCAACCAAAAGGATTGAAGAAAAATGTAACAACTAGTAAGGGCAAAAGGAGGGTAAAAGGTGGATTCGAAGTGGCGTTGGTAGCGAACTCTAAAAAAAAATCCCGTGCTAACAGCTTAGCTTCGTCAAAATCTGTTGCAAGTCCAACAGTTAGTCCAACAGTTACACCTTCTCCATTATCTATTGGAGGAGATATCTATGTTCATCAACATGTTCCTCCTCTTCAACCTCTTCCTCCCCTTCATCCTCTTCCTCCATCTTTGGCCATGGGTGGTAATTCTATTTCTCCGCTATTGACATATCCCACATATCATGTAAGTATTACTTTAACATTGTATTTTGTGTGTGTATTTTTTGCAAAGCCTAATATATGACATTGTTGTAGGCGAACAATTTACGGGAGATGTATGTAGTGCCAAATTCAATGCCTCAACGGTATTCTGCTCAACCAACATTCCTGTCACTACTTCAAGGTTCATGTGGATATGACATTGCGTTTCGATATTCTCAAGAATCAAATAGTCCAATGTGTAGTCAGGTTCGTCCTTGTTGTCTTTTTAATTTTTAGTTGTTGAAAATTCTGGCTTTTTAGTTGCTGAAAATTCTGTGATAGCATGTATTTACTTGCTGAAAATTCTGTATTTTCCCTTTTATGCTATGGACAAGCAGAAACAGAAGCAAACTGATGCTGACATTGTGTTAGAAAATGAAGTCATAGCAGTTGAAATTGTGAAGCAAACTACTGCTGGAAAGTGATGTTGCTGGTATGAAGCAAACTGTTGGAAACCAAACAGTGGAGCAATGTGTGTTCAAAGCAAACTGTGAAGCAGTGTGTGAAGCAAACTGCTTGTATGTGTTCAAATAGACCAATGTGTTAATTTAGATGGACCAATGTGTTACTTTATGTTAGGTTTTTATTCTTAGCAACCCCGTTTGACAAAACTCCTTTAAGTTGTATTTGCTTGTATTGGTTTTCGCACCTTTTATTTCAGTGAGGTTATGAGTGTTTAGATGCGAATCCAACCCGAATTGTACCTTGCAGAGAAGTTTGTGTTGTTTATACTTTCAAGATTGCCACTTCGCTGATTATGACGGGGATCGAGCAAAGGAGTGCTCGCTCGAGCGAATGCTGCGTCTGTGTAAAAACCTAAAAGAGATGAATGTACGCTTGAGCGAAGGGTGCGTGGCTCCAGCGAAGCCACTTATGGAAAACACGCATTTTTGGTTCCTCGCTCAAGTGAGAGAGTCTTCGCTCGAGCGAGCATCGCGATTCAGATTTCTATAAGCACGTGGTTTAGTCAGATTTTAGGATTACTTCTCCAGATCTTCTTCTTGGGTTACAGGGTTTATATCTGGGGATATTTTCCTAGTTTTCTTTGATGTTTTGATTGAGTATTCAACTCATGGTTTAAAGAGTATACATCAAAGGATTATTTGTTTGTTTTACACAAAAGAGAGAGTTGTTCTTCGGTGGATTCTGAAGAATTCGAGCCTGAAGCTTTGGTGGATTCCGGAGTGGCTCATCGTCAAGACAATTCTGAGGTGAAGACGGGGTTGGAAGAGGCACATAGAGGTTGGTTCGATTCGGGCGTGGATTCGCTAGGTAATTGAGAGTATACCTGTGTAATTCTTTTATATCTTCTTAGTGGATTGTTTTGTGCCTGTTACCCGTGGTTTTTTTATCACAATTGGAGGTGTCCAATTGTGGTTTTTTTACGAAAAATCGTTATGTCGATTTGTCTTGATTGTTTGATTGGGATTGTTATATACTGCTTAAAATTGATACATAATCACAAATCAACATCTAGGGGATTTCTAGATTTTTCAATTTAGATAGACCAATGTGAACAAACTTCAGTTGATGTTAATTTACAGTTGATGTTAATTTACACAGCTTTTTTTTCATTTCTTAGAAAAATTATCCCATCTGTTGTGCTGCTGTCTATTTTTTGATTCTGCTGAAACTGTATTTAACTTATATTGGTGTCCATGTTTGTATTGCTGAAACTGTGTTATAACTGTGTTGGTGTCCATGTTTGTATTGTTGTCCATGTTTGTATTGGTTCTGGTATGCTGGTTTTGGTTCTGTTGTTCTGCTGATCACTCATCTGTTCTGCTGGTGGTACGCTGGTTCTGCTGTCATCTGGTTCTGCTGGTGGTATGCTGCTGTTATCTGTTCTGCTGGTGGTATGCTGGTTTTGCTGGTTCTGCTGTCATCTGGTTCTGGTATGTTGGATCTGTTGCTAGAACCATAACATGTTGCTAATGATAGAACCATAACATGTTGGTTCTGGTATGCTGATGCAGAAGTAAACTTTTCAGACTTTTGGAAACTTCATCGACTTTGTAATTTTTTTTTTCATTTATTTAAAACATTTATCTGTATGTGAACAAAACAGCCTTATCTCTTTAGTTTTAATTATAATTTTGAACAAAAAAAAAATTATGTGACAATTTATTAGGTTTTTATTCTTGGCAATCCCGTTTGACAAAACTCCTTTAAGTTGTATTTGTTTTCGCACCTTTTATTTCAGTGAGGTTATGAGTGTTTAGATGCGAATCCAACCCGAATTGTGCCTTGCAGAGAAGTTTGTGTTGTTTATACTTTCAAGATTGCCACTTCCCTGATTATGACGGGGATCGAGCAAAGGAGTGCTCGCTCGAGCGAATGCTGCGTCTGTGTAAAAACCTGAAAGAGATGAATGTACGCTTGAGCGAAGGGTGCGTGGCTCCAGCGAAGCCACTTATGGAAAACACGCGTTTTTGGTTCCTCGCTCAGGCGAGAGATTCTTCGCTCGAGCGAGCATCGCGATTCAGATTTCTATAAGTACGTGGTTTAGTCAGATTTTAGGATTACTTCTCCAGATCTTCTTCTTGGGTTATAGGGTTTATATCTGGGGATATTTTCTTAGTTTTCTTTGATGTTTTGATTGAGTATTCAACTCATGGTTTAAAGAGTATACATCAAAGGATTATTTGTTTGTTTTACACAAAAGAGAGAGTTGTTCTTCGGTGGATTCTAAAGAATTCGAGCCTGAAGCTTTGGTGGATTCCGGAGTGGCTCATCGTCAAGACAATTCTGAGGTGAAGACGGGGTTGGAAGAGGCACATAGAGGTTGGTTCGATTCGGGCGTGGATTCGCTAGGTAATTGAGAGTATACCTGTGTAATTCTTTTATATCTTCTTAGTGGATTGTTTTGTGGCTGTTACCCGTGGTTTTTTTATCACAATTGGAGGTGTCCAATTGTGGTTTTTTTACGAAAAATCGTTATGTCGATTTGTCTTAATTGTTTGATTGGGATTGTTATATACTGCTTAAAATTGATACATAATCACAAATCAACATCTAGGGGATTTCTAGGTTTTTCAATTTAGATAGACCAATGTGAACAAACTTCAGTTGATGTTAATTTACAGTTGATGTTAATTTACACAGCTTTTTTTTCATTTCTTAGAAAAATTATCCCATCTGTTTTGCTGCTGTCTATTTTTTGATTCTGCTGAAACTGTATTTAACTTCTATTGGTGTCCATGTTTGTATTGCTGAAACTGTGTTATAACTGTGTTGGTGTCCATGTTTGTATTGTTGTCCATGTTTGTATTGGTTCTGTTGTTCTGCTGATCACTCATCTGTTCTGCTGGTGGTACGCTGGTTCTGCTGTCATCTGGTTCTGCTGGTGGTATGCTGTTGTTATCTGTTCTGCTGGTGGTATGCTGGTTTTGCTGGTTCTGTTGTCATCTGGTTCTGGTATGTTGGATCTGTTGCTAGAACCATAACATGTTGCTAATGATAGAACCATAACATGTTGGTTCTGGTATGCTGGATCTAGTATGCTAATGATAGAACCATACATGTTGGTTCTGGTATGCTAATGATAATGATAGAACCATACATGTTGGTGCCAATGTTGGTTTTGGTTTTGGTTTTGGTATGCTAATGATAGAACCATAAATGTTGGTGCCAATGTTGGATTTGCTACCATACTCATAGAACCATACATGTTGGTTCTGGTATGCTAATGATAATGATAGAACCATACATGTTGGTGCCAATGTTGGTTCTGGTTCTAGTATGCTAATGATAGAATCATACATGTTGGTGCCAATGTTGGATCTGCTGGATCTGCTGCCATACTCATAGAACCATAACATGTTGGTTCTGGTATGCTGCTGCTGTTAAACCAAAATGTGCCATACTGATAAATGGTTCTGCTAGAGCTTCATGCTGCTGCCATACTCAGAACCATAACATGCTAATAGATAATAGATAAACTTGCTAACAGTTTATCATGCTGCTAATGATGATGAACTTAAGTTATAAACTTAACTTAAGTAAGTAATGATAATAAACTTAAGTAAGTAATAATGATGCTAATGATGATAAACTTAAGTACGTCATGCTGCTGCCATACTCAGAACAATAAGTAAGTAATGATGATAAACTTGCTAACATGTTTCCCAAAATTCATTCCATTATTCATTCCATAACAGATAACAAGTTGAATGTTTCCCAAAATTCATTCCATCATTCATTTTTCATTCATTTCATAACAGATAACAAGTTGAATGTTTCCCATAATTCATTCCTTCATTCATTCCATAACAAGTAACAAGTTGAATGTTTCCCACAAAACATTTCATCATTCATTCCATAACAGATAACAAGTTGAGGCCACAAGTTAACAGATAACAAGTTTAGCATTAAAAT